TATATAATCTATATTACGACGGGGTTTATTTAATTTAATAAAAAAGAAAGAGAACGTAAGGTGAACTGTCCAACTTTCGATTAGTCTAATTTTTCTCGGAGAATATCGGAACGTATTCTGTATATTTCCGGAAGACGTCGATATATCGCAAATATAATAGCGCTTGAAAATCTAAAGGGTTCAGGCAGAGAGACGTTTAACGACGATAATTACTGATAGAGACTGATCTTTATTCATTGTCAAGGTGTGGTTTTTATAATGTAGATTTTACAAGGAGTAGGGTCTGTGTCTTTGTTCTAGAGTCTGTGACTTTAGTTCAATTCTGGAATGCTTAGTCTGGTTTCTGGTTAGACGAGCGACTAGATCATCGCTGCAGCTGAGAATGTGCTTTGGTTGTCGTTACAATATGTATATTGGCAGCTATAGATTTATATATGATAGATTTTGTGATTTTTTTTCAGCTGGTTCTTTTATGTTCTGCAAGCAAAGTATTTGACTTGGCACTGTTTCTTTTTGACTTTCAAGATAATTAATTAAATCGCTGCACAAATTAATTGCCTAATGATGGCGCACAACAAACAAAGCAGAATCGACGGACCTGAATGGTTGCTACAGTTTAGACGCTAGGATGCGTAACCCCTCTCCTAGGGTAGCCATACAACGAGACAACGCTGACCCCCAGCCTATCGCAGCAGCATTAAAAAGTCGGCCCGTGCAATACTAATCACTGAAAAGAGTCACGGCACGTCAGAGCTCTACTCTACAAGGTGGTCACGACGACAAAGGCAGTTTCAAAGATGCACCTGTAGTAGCGCAACATCCACTGTCGCAACCTGGCAAGCAGCGAAAAAGAGTAGATGCAGATGATCAGCATATCGTTAATCACTGGCAAGGAGGTGATGTAGCGACACCTTCTACGCTCGGTTACTAGAGGGACGGACTGACCGCGAATTCTCGCTAGTCCTCATAAAGGCTCCCGTTTGTATATATATAACTTCTGACCTAAGTCCTTGCAATCCCTCCCGCATCTAAGGCACGGGCCTCCTAGAAAGCCTTACTGACGAGTCCATTAGAAGTCCAAGACGAAACGCCGACAACCTTTCCTTTTCCGCCCGATCCTCTCTATCCTCCTCAGTTTCCTCTATCCCTTCAACATGATTTTCTTATTCAGACCCATAGAATATATTTACAAAGTTTGATACTTTAAACCTGAGACACCCAAAACGCTGATGCGTGTGACTGAATCTATTCTGATTGATCCTCTAAGATTCGAACTTTGGCTCCTTCGTTATTTAAAATGGTAAATGCCAAGTGTTCTTGATTTCAATTTCTACCACTAATAGCGCAGTGATATAAAACCAGTCCTAACCGATGCAGTAGGATGATGGTCACGGTGTTCTAGGACCCCATGGCCGTGCGACAAAAAAATACATTGGATGAGTGGTCTATTCTATATCTCGCCTGTGTTGGTATCACTGGCGATTTAAAAAAAAGTGCTACTGATGTGTTCCTCCATGCAATTACAAGAAGCAGGAAAATTCCAACCAGGGACGCTAATGGCGACCGACAATCTTGGAAACGAAGCGCGTCGCCTGTTCATATGCGATACGCAAACGAAAGCGCAGTTCCACTGTTCGGGTTATTTGAATTCCCAGTTATGACAATCAGCCTCAAAAATGCGGCACAAATATTCCACCGCTTCATCGACGAGGTGCTCTAAGAGGACTGGATTTCTGCTACAGATTCATCGATGATATCCTGATGACGTCAAAAGACTGAAAAGAACCCATAAAACATTTAAGGCAACTCTTTGAACGGCTTGCAGAGTTCGGAATTATAGTAAACCCGATAAAATGTGTATTCTGTCCTGGAGGTAACTTTCCTGGGCTTCAGTTTCAATAGCCAGGGGACCTGCCATTGCAGGAGAAAGTGGATGTAGTCATGGGTTTCCCCAACCAGGCCAAAATGAGCAGGTTTTTGGAGATGGTGAACTTTTATAGAAGATTCATCATTCCAGATGCCGCAGCGATCTAGAATTCCCTAAACGAGTGTATGAAGGGAGGTTGGAAGCGAGACCCTATCAAGTGGACGGCGGAAGCAGAAACGGCTTTCGAGATGACGAAGGATGCCCAGGCCAAGGTAACAAGATTGGCATATTCTTCGGGGCACGCGAAGTTGGCATCGGACTCGGCTATAGGAGCAGTGCTACAGCAGCTCCAGCAAGGAGCATGGAAACCACTCGCCTTTTTCTCGTGGAAGTTCAAACCGGCACAGAAGAACTATAATGCCTACGATATGGAACTGCTGGTCGCATATACGGCAATAAATTATTTCCGGCGCGCGTTGAAAGGAAGACAATTCACAATTTATACAGATCACAAACTTCTAATATACGCACTACAGCAAAAGCCAGAGAAATACACTCCTATACACTTCGGATACTTACATTTCATCGCCCAATTTTCCACAGACATTCAACACAGCCGGAAAGTATAACCTTGTAGCCGACGCATTGTCGCGAGTCGAAGAAGTAGTCACACCTCTCGACTATAGCGCTTTAGCGCAAGGTCAGCCGACGAGAAATTGAGAGAGACGATGGTAAATCCATCGGGCTGGCTCATCAAGAAAGTACGGATGGTGGAACCAGATGTCAATACAGGAAAGATTCGGTAAGAGTTCGAAATTCGGGACCGCTGTGGAACAGTTACCCCAACCGTTCTCGTGTAGATCCCAAAGAACTCTTATAGAATCTTTACTGTATACACTGCGACATCTCGACAGGACAAGCAAAGCCATTCGTCACAAAGGCGTTAAAGAGAACGTTGTTCGAGCGCCTGCACGGTTTGGCGCACCTGGGAGCGAGGGCGTCTATGAAATTAGTGACCAGAAGATACGTGTGGCCGTTGGTAAAAAAGGATTGCCGACTATGGGCAAAAGCATGTCTGTAATGCCAGCGGGCGAAAATAACGAGGCATATCTTATCGCCGGTGGGAGAGTTTGTGGCTCCGACCGCGCGATTCGAACACATCCACGCGGACCTTTACCCAACTCAAGAGGGTACATATATTGCTTAACACGTTGATTGCCACATTGGTCACCTGTGACCGGAGATTGCTTCCTCGATGGGGCCACGGTGGTCTTCAGTGACCAGAGGACCTCAAATGTTTTGAATAATTAAAATAAAATAAATATAGTCAACTAAAAATTTCGAAACATCATAGCTAACTAGACATTATTTTGAATTAAAAAAAAAAAATAATGAAGGATAATAAGCATAATATAATACAATACTTAGAATAATGAAAATTTTCTTGTGGCCCCCTGAGCAAAACATGTAAATCTGGTGTAGCAGTCAACGTGTTAACGTAGTGAACAAGTTCACAAAATGGCCGGAGGCGTTTCCGATTAAGTACGCGAACGCGGAAATAGTAGCACGCTTTACGAGGTTCGGAGTCCCCCTCAGGATAGCAACGGATCGGGGACGTCAATTCAAGTCCTGTGTTTTTAAATTCCTGACGCGTGCACTAGAAATGGAGTACCACGGAACGGTCGCATACCATCCGAATGGAGCGGTGGAAAGATTTCACCGGCAGTTGAAGGTAGTTGTAAGTTGCCACTCAGTCGCTAGCTGGACGGAACTATGTATTCCTGATCGTTCTGCTTGGCATCCGGGCAACGATAAAAGAAGACGCTGAGGCTACAGCGGCAGGAATGATTTTCGGGGAACCGGTGTGACTGCCTGAAGACTTGTTTGAGGGCGTCGAGCAGCAGGAGATGTTCCAATTTGTGGACCAACTTTGCCGACACATCCGAGCACTGAAGCATTGAGGCCATTAAAGACCGGAATCCACGGAAGGAAGCCGGTGTTTGTATTCAATGACCTGGCGTTGGCGAGCCACGTCTTCGTGCATCGGGGCATGGTGAAAAGACCACTCCAAGTGCTGTACGACGCACCTTATCCGGTAATACAACGCGACAACAAGAACTTCGTAGTGAGAGTTAACGCGCACGACATGAAGATCACGTTAGACAGACTAAAACCAGCATTTATTTTAAACAACGCAAACAATAATGAATAGATAAGCGAGGTCAGAGAAGGAACAATAAAAACAGTGTAGTTTAGCGCAGGATCCCGGAGAAACTGTTAAGTGTGAATTATATTGCGTAATTGTAAATTATATTGTGTTAAGTATAAATCATATTGCGTAGTTGTAAATTATATTGCGTTAAGTATAGATTGTATTGCGTAAAATAGGCTAGGTTAAAGTTAAGGGATTTCATATTGTAACCTAGGATATAAGTTCGGCGAGTATACTAGATTACACCCAGCCGTATAATGAGTTGCAAAATCTCAAGACAACCTCCAAGATTTCCCTCCTAGCGCTATCACTGGTGAGGGGGTGGTATGGGGGACGCTAGTCTCCTAATAGGGACATTTAGTTTCCGGGATATGTCGCTGCTGAGATTACCCTAGAGGCGACAATAGATTGACATGGTGGAGACGCAAAGGCGCGGGCGGTACGTAATACGCCAGTACACGCAACAACCAGTAGGCAACAGAGCACGAAGCAACGTAAAATATACGCATACTCTAAATTTCCTTGTGTAGTTACTAAACCAATTCCTACATTGTATTAAAAATTTACTTACTCATTTTTAGAGAATATAATTTCTGTAAGTTGGTATCTGTGAGTTTGAATGAGTGTCACTAGGCAAGTGGAAAACGTTCGGTTAAAAGGTTCCGGAACACGGGAGTGTGAGAAGGTGCATAGAAAACCAAAGAGAATTTTTTTATTTAATTTAATTACATTTGCATAGTTAGCTACTACACCATCGTTATTTAAATTATTATTTAGATAATTTAAATATTTTAATATTTAAAAAGCAATTCACAAACTACCTGAATTGAAACTTGAATGAAATCTAAAAAACTAATTACATTACATTATTAGTACGATTTATAAAACGAGTAAAATACTTACAAACTTTCGAATTTACAGGATATTCCAGTCTGCCACGTAGCTGCCATACCGCAGGATTAGATGGCGCTGGAATGTCAGAAGGTGGTACCGGTGTTCCATTCAGTTCGCCCTATTGTCCAGATAATACTTTACCACTCCTGGAAACTGTATCGGAGGACCAAGAAATTCAAGCCAGGAGAAACAACGGTGAGTCATTTTCGTTATTATATGCATATGGAGTCTTCTACTTCATTGTTTACAACTTGGATTTTTCTATTATCTCGCGGCGCATGGCTTATAATAAATATCAACATCAGAATTTATTATTTAGCTAATCTGTCAAATAATTCTAGAGAATGCATATGAACGTATAATATTAAATAACTATGATAATATAACACATAACAAATTTTTGTTTATACCAATATTAAGAATATTTCTTCATATTTCTAACACAATGTTGTTTGTTTTTTTATTACAGTTGATTATTTAAATTTATGCATACTTTATATATTAAGTACGTGTTCACACACATATACGCAGGCATGGATATGCAACTGCAAAAATTCATTTTCGATTCTATTATCAATATTGGTGAAAGAACTACGCGTCACGATGCAATGAATTTACACATGCGTGCCTGTGTAAATACAAATAAGTACATGTTTTTTGATTGTAAAACTACACTCTTATTAATATTATAGCTTCTAATCAGTAAATATTTAGAATACAAAAAAACAGTATACATTGTAATTCTGTCAGTTCATTATATGATAATTTTTAAATTACATTTATGGCAATGAACTTTGTACCATTGTATGAACATTCCGCGACAACTGTTTTGACCTCATCCAGTTATGTCCCGAAAAATCATAAAGTATTAACTTTTCTTTAAAGAACGTTATGGTTCCTTTATATGATGTGAATTACCCTTCAGATAATGATAAGTAAAGTTTCCTATATCAGGTATACAAGTACCTGTATCATTGGGGTAATTTAAGTGCGACAACTGTTTGACCTCACTCTAAAAATGTAACAATTCCATGAGAATATATCTACTAATATAATACTACTAAGCCGGATAAGAGGGAATCTACTGTATATGAATTGATTTATGAATGGTAATATTGTAAAGGACATATTAATGTTATAGGCATATCATATTTGTCATGATGGTCGTGAAGGTCATCAAGGTGCATCCTTCCTTTGCACTAATGGGACTCTTTTCAATCAACGGGACTTCGGTTGCGATTGGTGGTACAATGTGAATTGTGCTGAAGCCCCAGCTTTGTACAAGTAAATTTTTATACCTACATATATATATTTTAATTTTCGGTTTGCAAATGATTCCACACCCGGCACCGTCCCTTCCCTGGGGACCGCCTGCAGGAGGCGTCTCGCGGCCCCAGATACCCGGACCGGGGCATTTCGGCGACTCGGCCGTGGGGAGGAGTAACTCCTCCCCCACTTCTTATCCTGGGGGCCGGCTTAACACCTCCGCCGGGCCCTTCGGATCCGCCTCCGAGAGGGATCCAATCTCTCTCTCTCGGCGGCCTCCTTCTGTAGCATGACCTGCTCACAGAAGGAGGTCGCTGCGTCCCAGGACAATTCGCTCGCCAACATCGCCCTAACTAGGGCTGCCGGCGAGAGGTTCTGGCTGACCTCATCTACCAGGACTCGGCGCTCCACAGCCCACGCGGAACACTCCGTGAGGGTGTGTTGCGCCGAGTCCCTCATCCCGATAGGATCGCTCCGCCCTGGCGGAGTTCGCGGACACGCCTATATACATATCTGGGCGTCTCCCTCCGCTAGGTACTCGAATGGGACGAGTCCTGCCAGGGTCATCGCCGCCTCGTAAGAGACTGTGCGGTACCCGCGGACGACTCTGATGGCCATCACCCTCTGTAGTATTTTAATACTTAGTATTTTTTCCATTAACCGAATATTCTGTTCGGCATGGAGTCATAAAAATTTTCTGTAATTTTTCATGGAATTTTCCTCCAAATTAGTTTTAATGATTCCTCTAGTTTTCTCGTACTATTGTATTGCCTACAGTCTTCGTAAACTTTTCTTGCAAACCATCCCCACAAATTTTCAATAATGTTTAAATCTGGTGATATGGCTGGCCAATCCAACACCATTACGTTATTTGGTAATTATTCACAGTAAGGGAAACAGCTCCGATGACCTTGATTTTTACATATGTTGTTAAGAGCATTCTCCTGAGCAACCTCCAAAATGTTTTAGCCGTCCCTCGTTATTCGCTGCCAAGGTCGTACACGTATAAACAGAATTCGCTGTAGTGGTAACGACAGTTATTCGTTAATAACTTTAAACCAATAATGAGGGATGGCTAAAACCTTTTGGAGGTTGTTCGAGAGAATGCCCTTAACAACATATATCAAAATCAAGGTTATCGGAGCTGTCTCCCTTATTATGAATAATTACCCGTTATTTTCAGCAAAATAGTTTTTTACTGCTCTTGTTATGTGTATGGCTGCATTATCTTGCTGGAAAATCCACTCTCTCATTTTGTTTATTAGAGAGTAATCGAATATACTTGGTTGCATCCTGTTTTCCTGTGAGGATGGTAAGTTCAATTACTCCATAATAAGACGTGGCACCCCAAACCATCACAGATCCCTGCCTACTATGCCTATGAGTTAAGAATTTCTTTTCTTTACGGATATCCTGGAATTATAAGCATATTCATCCGGTCCATCTAAACAGAAACGCTTTTCGTCTGTAAAAATTACTTTTCGCTACGTTTCCGCTGTCCAAGCCATGTAATTCCGTCCAAATTTTAATCGAACCAATTAGTGACGACGTAACAATGCAAATGTTTTCTTTAATTTCATCCGTTTAATAAAGGGAGATGCCTTTACAATTCGCTGAACTGTTCGCACAATTGCAGAAATGCTGACAGATTCGACGATTTTGCGAGCAGATTGAGTTGAATTAGACGCCTCCCTTAAAATTAATGGACTTTCTCGTTCTGTGGTTGCTGTTTTTACACTACCTTTTTGGTTTTTTCCGTAATTTTCAGGATTCGTCAAGTAATTGTTAATTACACGAAGACTGCGGTTAATTCTTGGAGTGATCTCCCGATTAGAGTATCCTTCTGCTTTGAAAGCCTGAAGTTTTCCAATTACCTCAGAAGTTAAATACTTTCCACTATGCATTTTGTTCAACTAGCACACTTGAATACTTCAGTAGTAACAAACATTTCAGGAAAACGATGTTGTTTCTTTAAAATTGACAAATCTACTAATGAGGTCAAACAGTTGTCGCATGCTTATATCTGTTAAAGACAATAAAAAATTGTTAAAAGAAGCATAGACTGCAATAAAACTTTGGAATTTATGTGAATCATTTATTGCCAGAAAAGGCATTTAGCGGAAAAGTGTGTACTAATATACTACACACAGGTAATGAGTTTTAGCAATATACCTGAGTGAGGTCAAACTGTTGTCGCGAAGTGTATATACATAATATTTTTCAACAATACTTTAAATTAGTGCTATCTATCGGTGGAGTTTCCCATATAGCTTTGACCTCTTCTAATACAGTACATTATTTTAGAGGATAATCCAAATAGAGGAACACCTAAATATCTCCGTTATTAATGGTCGCATAAAAAAACTCCAGAGGACAAAGTTATACTGCTTGGAGGGGCGCATGCAATGGTAGATGAAACTTTTTCTTAAAGTCATTTCTTTATGAAATTTTAAGGTTATCGAAGTCTTTTTAAATGGGACTATGACCTTTACGTGACTTTGAATACAAAAAAAATTCATAAACGTTGGGCAATTGGTGAAATTGTGAGTCGTGGCCTGTCTTTCGAAGTTCAACTCTTTGTGTAGCAATGTATGATGTCTACGCTTACATTGTTTGCATGAACTTGGCGAGACATTCTTTAGCTGCATGATTTGGTCGCAGGCAATTGATGCAGAGACCCCCGTTTTTTTTATCATAACCAGCCGTTTGGAGTTTCGGACAGCTAGATGCAAAATGTTTGTCTTCACACAACTGACACGAAATGTGTTCAGGACGTAAACGTTACTGTTTAACGTGTCGTCTCAGTATATTGCACCCTTCGTAGTTGTTAAGCACTCGGGTACTAATTTCCACGTACTTCGAATATTGCACTAGGTGCCGTCTGAAGACTGAATGTATTGCATTGAGAGTCTGACTGAATCTTTAATATTCCTAATATAACTGATGGTCTGTGTACTAACACTCTCTCGTCTTAACCTAAGTCGGCCTTCTTATCGAGTCGTCCCTTCTCCAAATCTTCTAAAATTTGAAGAAGGAACGCGAAGGGAGGTTCTTAAAATTACTAAGTGACCAACCCCGTATCACCCCCTTCCATTGCGCCTGGAGCGCGTCACGTCCTTGGAGCGGGGGTGACGAAGCTGGTCCTTGCTGGACGGAAATTTGACAACAAGGGGGGAAAACCCGGCCAGGTCAACTCTGACTCTTCGACTCGTTCGGAAAGTCAGGTACCGAGAGGCCTCGGTACTTACATCGGTTCCGGAGACCCTTTGGGGGTGACTTTATGATATCTTGCCTTACTGACTGAACAATAGCCTATTCTTTAATATTTGAGAAATTCTAGGTACCGCACGTTGGCTGCTAATTAAAAATAACGGTTTGCTGAACCAGAAATCACGTATCATAAAATCGTCCCCCTGCTGTCCTAACAGTAGTGCCGTCTGTTGTTCTTCTCGAAGGACCACCCAACGTCTCCGTTGGGAACAAATTAACACATCTTGTACTTATAATTACTTTATTTATCACTAGTTACACAGGCTGCAACTGTAGCCCGACGATTACGTTCGGATAGTGTCTGTCACTTATTGAACGTGGAGATGTCTATGATCTTACTATTCGGTGGTACTCTGTGTACTATGGTGTTCTATGGTGTTTTATCGTCTACTTCTTTCGAAGGAAGCGGCGCTCCTTCCACGGTGCCCCTTCCTTCCTCTAATTGCACGCTGATTGGGTAATTTGGGAAATTCCAAAAACCCAATTAGCATGCTCCAGTGACATCGCAACACCCTTCTCTTGCGCCCTAAACGCGCGTTATCTTGGAGAGGGGGTGGCGATGTCCCGAGCTGAAAGTGGCGATGTCTGGCAACAGCGGGGAACTTCCGCTAGGTTCGACTTCGCCGATTTCTTGACCGTCGCGACTGGTCTATGTCTAC